CCCCGCATCGGGCTCCCTGCTCCGCGGGAAGCCTGCTTCTCTCTCTCCCACTCCCCCTGCTTGTGTTCCCTCTCTAGCTGTGTCTCTCTCTGTCAAATAAATAAATAAAATCTTAAAAAAAAAAAAGGCATAAAATTTACCATCAAAGTATTGTGGACTGAACATTTCGAATTATTGTGTGAACAGTAATTACTTCACCTATCACATTACTGGGCAAACAAGTTCTGTTACTTTCTCTTCTTGCAAAAGTAAAACTTAATACCTGTTAAACAACCACTTTCTCATTTCCCTCTACCCTAAGTCCCTGGCAGGTACCGTTTTAATTTTTTATGAGTTTCAGTACCTTAGATTACTCACACAAGTGGATTCCTACAGAATCTGTCTCTTTGTGACTCATTTGTTTCACTTGACATAATGTCCTCAAGGTTTATCCAAGTTGTATTATGTCACAATATCTGTATCTTCTCAAGGCTCGAAAATGTTTCATGATGTGTATATGCTGCATGTTTTCTTTATCCCTTTAACTATGCATAGGTATTTAAGTTGATTGTACCTATTTTGGGCTCTTGTGTGTAAAGCTGAAATGGATATACATGTGCAAATATTAATTGAATTCTTTTCTAACTTTTTAAATTTTTTTTAAAGATCTTATTTATTTGTCAGAGAAAGAGACAGAGCACAAGCAGGGGGAGCGGCAGAGGGAGAAGCAGGCTCCCCGCTGAGCAAGGAGCCTGACGCGGGGCTCGATCCCAGGACCCTGAGATCACGACCTGAGCCGAAGGCAGACAGATGCTTAACCAACTGAGCCACGCAGGCACCCCAAGCCATCTTATTTTGTAAAAAAAAAAAAAAAAAGCTTTTCTCACTTGTGGGATTTCTGAGTGTATCAAAGAAATTGCATGATTAAAACAGAGGTAAATGGTTGAAAGAATGATAAACTCAATGTTGGAATCCTGAGTTCTGCCAGTGGGAAGATTTCTAGATGTGAGGCTTCAAGCCTCTTCAGATGGAGTCCAGGCAGCTACAATCTGACAGATTTTCCTGATCTGCCGTTGGAATATCTCTCTGAGCTTTCTGAGTGGTCCACCGAGCAAGAGGCAAGAAGATTGTGTAAACATGGGCCATTTGGGCAGTTTCTCTGAAGTTTACGTGGAGTCAACTACCTTCAGTTTGTAGGAACAAAGGGAAGTTTTGGTCCTCAGTGAATCCAATTCAAGGGAATGGGATAAAATTGGAAAACTTAGTTTGCAGAGTCATAGCCAGATACTAGAGGAAACCAGACGAATTCAGGATCTAGCCAGTTTTATAGGCAAACAACATCACAATTGGAATCTAACATCCATAAAAGTTTGTTATGAAAATAGAATTTTTCTCTTTAAAATTAACCTCCTCTTTAACAAACATAGTGAATCGAGACTATTTGTTTGTAAAATAAGCCTAGTTTTATTTTTTTTAAGATTTTATTAATTTATTTGACAGAGATAGATACAGAGATAGATACGGAGATAGATTCCCGCTGAGCAGGAAGCCCGATGCGGGGCTCGATCCCAGGACCCTAGGATCATGACCTGAGCCAAAGGCAGAGGCTTAACGACTGAACCACCCAGGCGCCCCCAAAAATAAGCCTAGTTTTAACAAGCTTGACCTAATTATATAAGTGCAGCATGAATAGTGACTGGTTATATAAGGTCTTTGAAATCTGCTTTGCTGGAACTCTTTATAAGGAATTTCAGACAACTTTTATTTTTTTTAAGTGTTTTTTGTTTGGTTGATTTGTTTGTTTGTTTTGTTTTTTGTAATCTTTACACCCAGTGTGGGCTCAAACTTATGACCCCAAGGTCAAGAGTCGGATGCTCTTCCAACTGAGCCACCCAGGTGCCCCTCAGAATGAATTCTTAAAGCCTTGTGAACTTAAGAAGCCAGGCCAAATACTTGCCATCAAATTCACCTGTAATACCTATAGATGTGGGTACTTCTTCTCTTCTTGAGTCCCCAGAGTATCTTCAGGTTCTTATGCCTGCCAGAAAGTGAACTTATTTAATCACCTGGTAAGGCTCTTGAAAACACTGCAAGCAAGGTACCATGCAGATTATTTCAAGGGGCTTTATTGGTTTCATAAAGGTGACCTTAGTTCCTTAAAGCTATCTGTTCACATCTGAGTCTATAACGCTCTCAAATATGACATTCCTATCAAAGCCTTAGTAGTATAACCAACATTTCCCATGATGATCCATTGCAAGGAGAAGAGATTCTTATTAGCCCATAGGCTGATGGCTCGTTAGAAATGCAAACTCAGATCCCACTCCAGAACTCCTGAATCAGAATTGATTTTTTTTTTCAGAGTTGACATTTTTTTTTTAAAGATTTTATTTATTTATTT